GAACTAGAAAATACTGTGGCTGAGCTAGAAAAGACTGGGGATGAACTACATAATATTGGGGATGAACTAGAAAATAGTGGGGTTGATCTAGGAAATGCTGGGGATGATCTAGAAAACATCAGGTTGTGTAGCTATTTTTCCACGAAAAAAAAGACTATCATTTTCGAAAGTGTAGCCAATAATTATTAGCATTAGATCTAGATATATTGTTAAGGCCCAGGGGAAAAAAAACCCTATCATTTTCGAAAGCATAGCCTATTCCTTATCACGATCGACCCAGATCTGAACACATCTCCTACATGGGTACTGCCAGTTATTCATGCAAATGACACGAGATACCCACAGAACCAAAGGCAGTGAGTCATGCTTTACTGGAATTCTTCTGTCAGTGAAGTATAATAGGTAGTTAAGTGGTTTAACCAGTTTAATGATTAATGCCACAAAAATGACATGTCGATCATGAATGGTCGGTCTCTCAGTCTCAGGGGACTGAATCAATTTTCTGTTTTACGAACGTTGGTTTTTTTGGGGGGGTTTTCAATTTCCTTTTGTTGAATAGGCAAAAACCAGTAAACCTAACCTGAACAGATGTTGTCTCATGAGCCTTCATTAAATGTTACAGCTACTGGGTGAATGGTAGCAAACAAAAGAAAAACCATTTAAACGATTGTGACGTATGAGAGAAACGTTTGTGGTAAATGTAATACATGTATTTATATATTGTCGCTGACAACATCTACATGAGCAAAACTGGAGTCCCAAACACGGTTCATCTGAAGAAAGCAGAAAACCACCGAATCCCCGATTTTTTCCCCTTTTTGGAAACGGGAAGTCCGGGTTCGAGCCTCGGTTCGGACACGGATTTTATTTTCGCCCCCTCCTGCCCATCCAGCAGTAATGGGTACCTGACTTCGAGTTGGGGAAGTAAAGGCGGCGTGGAAAGGAACTGGCCACCCTACCACAATATGCCGAAGGCCCAGGAAGTTTTCTCACTAACAAGGCAATACCCAATGTCCGGATCGGATGCGAGAACAACTTTACTTTTAATATCTCTCTTTTGAGCAATCTCTCGAAACTAAAAACACGGCTTAACCGAAGAAATTCCTGCACTTTTACAGTACAGATTTCGGTGTCAGGTGACCCCACCATACCTTGTATAATTAGTTTATCAAAGGTCAGCTAGAGGTTCAGACACAACAATTCTGTTTTTTTAAATGTCCGACCTTCAGTCACATTCCAGGACCATTGGGAACTTCCCATCAGCAACCACGTGAACATCTACAGTACAACGTACCGTGTACAGAGATTAACCCCCCAAAAAAGAAAGAAAATCTGGGCGCCTCCTCTATAAACTCTTGTCTCAATTCTTTACAAGCAACGTTCTGTTTTGCTGCAGCAAGTGTAGTTGTTGTTTTTTGGTACTTTATTTTATTTTATCTATTTTCTTTTCTTTTCTTTTCTTTCATCTATTTTCTTTTCTTTTATCTTTATTTTATTTCATTTCATTTATTTTATCTTATTTTATTTCATCTATTCTATTTTAGTTAATTTTGTCTTATTTTATTTCATCTATTTTCTTTATTTCTTTATTTATTTTTGGTAATTTTTTAAAATTTCTTTATTTGTTTAATGCTTCATTTGTTCTTTTTTTTCCACGTCTCTGTTTCGGGGGCCATGTTCTTCGCATCAGGAACCCTCTTAACCAGTTGACGTGCAGGCGCTGACATCTGAGAGTCAAGAACAGAGAGGCTTTACGTAAAGAAACAATTCTCCCTTTATCTGTTGACTGGTGCATTAGTTTGTCAGTGGCCTTCAAAAGTGGACCACAGTTTTCCCCTGCCTTTTTCTCTCTGTGTCTCTTTCCCTCCCCC